GGTTATTTAAAGCCAAAAATATTTCTAGATTGTAAGAAATTTCTTTTGAGATAATTTAGTGATGCGAGTTTTACTAATTAACCCATAGTTGGGGAGAAGAATTGGAGTCATACCTTTCCCACTTAATTTGCAGGTAAGTGAATATAACGAACCCAAGTGAAATTGGAGCTCAGCTCTCACATTAAAAATTCCGAGTTATTGTCAATTACACCACCCGCGCATCCAAGCTTACAGCACCTGGTATTCCCAAGCGGTCACCAATCAAAGTACTGGCCAGGATCAACCTTGCTTAAGTAAAGGAACGAGAGAGAGAGAGAGAGAGATAAGGGAAATAAATATTGCGTGACTACTAGGTAGATATAAAATCCTGTTGGCTTCAAGTGATAATATTGTGAATCTGAACATTGGCATTGTCCTAGAGTCTTGAATATCCTGAAACAAAGAAAGGGACCAAAGAAAAAAAATGGAAAGAAAAGACGAGTCAAAATGCAATCAACTTACCTGTCGATGATAACGGGATCTGACGGTGTTTCGTTTCTGTTTCCACAACTTTTTTTGTCACAGCATCGACTGAAAGAAAAAAAAAACAAAAACGAACGACACATTAAAGAATCTAATGTAAATATATAACAATTGAAACGGAAATATCAATACAATTGATTCATATTATCGAACAAATTTCAATTACGTTCATTAGTATTTTCTTATTTTATTACATTTTTATCCCAACTTTACGCAAATTAAAATGATAGTAAATACGAGTCAAAATTAGTAATAATAGATTACAAACATTTATACAATAAAAAGTGAATATAAAAGTAAAAGTCAAAATTTCGAAAAGGATTGACAATGTTTCATGCCCTAAAAAATGAATATGAAATCGAATACTAGTCAAAATTATTAATAATGGTTGACAGTACTGGATTAAAATTAAACATTAATCTTCTCGAACTGGATAAAGTTTAAAATGGCAGGTTATAGTAAAAATAATAATTTGAATACATTTTTTCAATAAATTGAATTTGGTGGAAAATTGATTGTCATACGAAACATAATATGAGGTGATCTGCTAAGGTATTTGCGTGTGTTCACAGATTGCAACTAAAAGCTCGGACTGGTGGTGTCTCTTGACTTGAAAAATTGGTACAATGCAATCTTCATTGTCTATCTACACGTATAACGTAAAGCTAAGTTTAGTCAATATAAAAGAAATGCAGTGTTTTGTTGAACAAGGATAAAATTAGAATAAAAAAAAAGAATAAGAAAAAAAAGAAAGAGGAAAGAAAAAAAAGAAAGAGGAAAGAAAAAAAAGAAAGAGGAAAGAAAAAAAAGAAAGAGGAAAGAAAAAAAAGAAAGAGGAAAGAAAAAAAAGAAAGAGGAAAGAAAAAAAAGAAAGAGGAAAGAAAAAAAAGAAAGAGGAAAGAAAAAAAAGAAAGAGGAAAGAAAAAAAAGAAAGAGGAAAGAAAAAAAAGAAAGAGAAATGGGGTTGATTGGATTTGTTAAAAATAACTGGAACTGGACTGAATATTTCTCTAACACGACAATGAGCAATTGCCTCGATTGAATGACGTATTGAAAAAAAAAAAAAAGAAGTCATTTTTCTTGGAAACGAAGTTGCCTTGTGATTCTGTGTGATGCAAATAAGAACCACTGATCATAAATCTAAGGTGGAAAGTTCTTCTGCACGGGAAGTATTAAGAAAAATCACCTTCACCATTTGACACTCGTCTCGTCAATGTTTCCAACAAGTTGAAATATCAAACAATTTTACGTTTTGATATTCAGTTTCCATGAAAGGCGGTATAAAGTTTAGAGAAAAGCAAGGAAATGTTTTCATGACTGTATAATGAAGCTATGAATTTAGATGAATAACCAGAGAACGACTGAGGATACATTAATTATACTATGAATTAAGATTAAAAAGAGGTTTACAAGAAAACGCTGAAAACCTTCACATTGACCTAATATGAATTCTTTTACAACTCATTAATAATGCTAAAAGATTTTATGAAGTTTAACAAAACAACGCCGGAAACCTTTACATCTATCTAACATGACGGAATGGAATCGTATATGATTTCCATAATATTTTGAATTTAAGAGTTCTTAATTAGAAAAAAAAAAGGAAAAAAAAAGGAAAATATTCTACGACTTCAATCAGAACTAAATACTATGAGGAATTTACTTAAGTTTTATAACAAATGATAAAAAAAATTAAATGAAAGCGTGAAAACGAGTAAAATGTCGAATGTTCATCCGAGGGTAAAAACTAAACTTCCCAGATTTTCGAATACAAGTTGCTTTATATCAATACATTGATTGGTTCTGCACAGATGTCTGAAAGTAATCTATTGTCACCGTATTACAGAGTGATTAGTATAAATATACAAATCAAATTGTTTACGCTTTTTACCTGCAAGATATAAAGATCGGAAGTTACTGGTGCGCATGCTTAAAAGATTATGAGCTTCCACCAGATAACACTAAGATAATTCAATAAGTCCGTAGCTTGACAATTATTAGCCGAATTTTAGTTGGTAGCCTGACAATTACTAGCTAAATTTTCGTTATGAAAATGTCGGGTTAGTTCTCATTGACAACGAAATGTTTTTTTTTAAGTATTTCGCCCCCAAGCAAGGCAAGAGGGCCACTAGCACGCAGGGGGTTACGGAGAGTGAAAGTGAGAGAAAAGAATGGGTGCAAGGTCGATTGAGGAAAGGAAAAAAAGACAGGGATCAAAGCAACAGAAGATTGACGTTGCATTTAAATTTTTGAGGATTGTAATTATCAGGGAAGCAAGTTAGAGGAATGGAGTTCCAATGTCCGGAAGTATGAAGAAAGAAACTGTCGGAGTAGAAGTGGCGGTTCCATTTAACTATTTCAACAGAAAAAGGGTGGGACCTAGATGCCAAGGACGCTTAAATTTATGTAGTCGGGGCACCGAGAAAAAAAGATCGTTCAAGTAGTAGCCATGATAATATTCATAGAAAAGACAGAAGGAAGCCACATCGCATCTGTGAGAAAGTGTCTGAAGTCGAGATGCCAATTCAGGACGGATTACATTACAGATCATTTGGACAGAAAAACAAAAAAAAAAAATTTCTTGTTTAAAGTTGTTTTTTTTTTTTTTATTCTTAGCTTCATTCGGTTTGGAGCTTATGTCCAGCTAATATATCAGAGGCAGGAAGAAGGACGGAGAAAATAATGTAAAAATTGTCGAAAACCTACCTGCACATAATTTCGTGTGTTAATAGTACCCGACACATTTCAGGGTTTTTGTCCTGGCCTTCATAAACAATGGCCTAAAAGGAAGAAAATTTTTAAAAAGTGTAAAAATACGATTAACAAAATACAAAATGCCAAATTTTTGATTTGAAATTACTATAGAAGGCTCACGATCTGCAAATAATATATTGTTAAGAGAAAAAAAAATAAGAGAATAAAATAAACAAAAAGACACCCACTGTAAATATCAGGAAATAATTTATCTTTTACTTATTAGGAATAGAATGTGTTGAGAAACCGTATTTCGGTAGATTCCTCTACAAGGTACTTAAGAAATTTAAATAGGAATTAAAAATTTATTAATCAAGCGATAAACGCATGAAAGTGTGTAAGGCTGGTGGGGAGAGAGATAGAGATAAAATCTTCGACCGGGTGTTTCATTACTGGGAATTTTTGCTGTTCACTTGAAACAGTTTAAGTTTAAAATCAGTCCACCCGAAAATCAATATTAGTAACAACAATTGGGTGCAACTGAGGTGGGGAGTTAAGAATTTGAATGCGGGGTGGACATGAAAATGGGCGTTTTTGCGTTTTCCAATCTTGCAACGAAGGAACCTCTTCCATGGACCGTCATAATAATAATATACGATAATTTTATTTATATTATAATATTTTTTTTATAATTCTAATAATCTTTTGCGTTGGTGATTGTACTTTTTTTTTTTTTTGATTTTTGCGCAAAGTGTAAAAAAATCAGTTTTTTCGATTTTTCACCTTCAAGGCTGTATTTTTTTTCCTGCCAATTTGGACTCAAAACAGGCACTGAAGAATTATCTATCAAACAACGAAAAAAAAAAAAAATTCATCGAAATCGGATGAAAACTGGAAACGTATAACCAACATCCGATCACACATAAATACAAACACATTTTGAGACTTATATATATATATATATATATATATATATAAGAATATACATTTTTGAGAGAGACAGTAAATGGTTCAAATGTTGAAATAAAGAGACTGAATAGAAAAATGAAATTTATTGGCACTACAGAGGGAAGAATACAAGACATGAACAATTGGCAGGAAAAACCAGAACAAAGACAAATGACCAAAGAAGGGCAACTGGAAAAATTATTATTATTATTATTATTATCATTATTATTATTATTATTAAGAGATCAGCAACAAAATAACAATGACAGCAACGGATGCAGACGACGACAAAGGGCATTTTGGATGTCAATATCGTGTTTTGATGTTCCTGCAATGAAGTCGGGCTGTTAATGTGAATGTCACTGACCCTGTGTGGGGCTAAGCCAAACCCTTCCTTCTGTCTGAAAGTGCCATTGACGGACAGATCCGAAAGAAAACGGTCGACAGATGGCGACCGGCGCCTGGTGACTGGCGGCTACCTGCTCCATGCTCCCATTACGAAGAGGACAGGGTAGATGGGAGGTAGGAGAAATAGGAGGTGCCATTGCACTGGAAAACCTCCAGATTTATAATAGATGGTCTTGTGGCCACCATTTCCATCTCTGGATCGCTCATGCAACTTTAATAATTTTGCTTAATCGCTCCAAGTTTGCCTGTATATTCTGTGAACGTTTAGTTCTTAACGATAAATTGGGATCTACATTAGAATAATAATGGCCTGAATTCACCTATTAAGAAGTTTGTGACCGCGTTAAGTAAGGCGGTGTCGTTCTTATGATTCAAAATAAAAAAGATAATCGACATAAAAGAATAAGCCAACAAAAAATGAAAGATGATTAAGAAAGTATGAGGAAAGAGAGAGGGGAAAGAGAGAAGAGGGAGAGAAAGAGGGGGAGAGAGAGAAGAGGGGGGAGAGAGAGAAGAGCGGGGGAGAGAGAGCGGGGAGAGAGAAGAGGGGGAGAGAGAGAAGAGCGGGGAGAGAGAGAAGAGCGGGGAGAGAGAGAAGAGCAGGGGGAGAGAGAGAAGAGCGGGGAGAGAGAGAAGAGCGGGGGAGAGAGAGAAGAGCGGGGGAGAGAGAGAAGAGCGGGGAGAGAGAGAAGAGCGGGGAGGGAGAAGAGCGGGGAGAGAGAGAAGAGGGGGGAGAGGAAGAGGGGGAGAGAGAGAGGAGGGAGGGAATAGGGAGGGGGGGAGGAGGGAGGGGAGGGGGAGGGGGGAGAGAGAGGGGGGGGGGGGGGAGGGGGAGGGGAGGGGGAAGAGAGAGGGGGGGGGAGGAGGGGGGGGAGGGGAATAGGAGAGAGGGAAGAGAGAGAGAGGTGGAGGGAAGAGAGAGAGAGAGGGAAGAGAGAGAGGGGAGAGACCCTAACTTGTAAAATACATTTTTCTATTAATGTTGTCAACCTTTATTTTCGCACATGTTTCAAACGTAATCTTACAATCATCTTACGCGGAAAATATTATAAATTCGAATTTCAATGCTCACGTGATCTGAATCATTTGACTAAGTTATATCCCATTTTTTATTATAGCTAAGGGGAGGCAAAGACTGTATTATTGCCATTTTCTCGAACTCATTTTTTCTCGCTGTCATCTTTTTTTTCAGCTACTTCATTTCTTTTTTTTTTTGTTGTTGTCAAACAGCGCTCCACTTCATATAGTACACTTATATACACGTCTTCCCGTACCAACTCGCTATTATTCCACTCTGCAGTCCCCCTCCCCCCGCCAAAAAAAACGCTATTTTTCTCGTCTTTCTTCTCTAACACCCCACCCCAGCCCCAACTCTTGTGCAGTTGTTTCTTTTTGTCTTGACATTTTTCCGCTGACAAGCACAGACCGGATGTATTAATGAAATATTCAGAGTTGCAACTATACAAAAGCGAAGCAAGTTTCACGCATAAATTTCTAATTATGCAGAGACCGCCGCCGCCGTCATCGGCTGCCGATCGGTTTCCAGTTGTTTGAAGTGGGTGTGCCAACCCGACTGTCAGCTCGTCAGCCAGCCGTCGGTCAGGGATGGCACTTGTGTGTGCGCGACGTGGAGAGAGAAAAAAAAAAAAAAAAAAATGAAAAAAATAAAAATCGATAGCTTCGCGCTCGACTGCCGTTTCAATGGAGCCGAATGTAAAGACAAGAAATTGTCGATTACTGATCTGAGAGGGAGAGAGAGGCGCGAGAGAGAGGCGAGAGAAGGAAAGGGAGAAGGAAAGGGAGAGAGAGAGAGAAGGAAAGGGAGAGAGAGATGAGAGAGAGAGAAGGAAAGGGAGAGAGAGAGAGAGAGAGAAGGAAAGGGAGAGAGAGATGAGAGAGAGAGAAGGAAAGGGAGAGAGAGATGAGAGAGAGAGAAGGAAAGGGAGAGAGAGATGAGAGAGAGAGAAGGAAAGGGAGAGAGAGATGAGAGAGAGAGAGGAAAGGGAGAGAGAGATGAGAGAGAGAGAGGAAAGGGAGAGAGAGATGAGAGAGAGAGAAGGAAAGGGAGAGAGAGATGAGAGAGAGAGAAGGAAAGGGAGAGAGAGAGGAGAGAGAGAGAAGGAAAGGGAGAGAGAGGCGAGAGAGAGAAGGAAAGGGAGAGAGAGGCGAGAGAGAGAGAAGAAAGGGAGAGAGAGGCGAGAGAGAGAGAGAAGGAAAGGGAGAGAGAGGCGAGAGAGAGAGAGAAGGAAAGGGAGAGAGAGGCGAGAGAGAGAGAGAGGAAAAGGGAGAGAGGCGAGAGAGAGAGAAAGGAAAGGGAGAGAGAGGCGAGAGAGAGAAGAAGGAAAGGGAGAGAGAGGCGAGAGAGAGAGAGAAGGAAAGGGAGAGAGAGGCGAGAGAGAGAGAAGGAAAGGGAGAGAGAGGCGAGAGAGAGAGAAGGAAAGGGAGAGAGAGGCGAGAGAGAGAGAAGGAAAGGGAGAGAGGGGCGAGAGAGGAAAAGGGAACGGAAGAAAATGGTAAAAAAGCAAGTTTCGCTTCCTTTACGGAATGAAATCTACATTATAACTACAAGGAGATCCTGAAAATTTTTGACACGCCCAGAAGTGCTTCTAAATTCGGTCAGATTTGGTGAGGGAAAGTGAATCGATCTGAAAATTTTTCAGCGCCCTCTCGGATGTACAGATCTTCGGGAAACATTAAATCGTCAACATGCACGAGAAACAAGTGAACAGAATATTTTTTATAAGACATGTAATGAAAATATAATTAGAAAATAATGTTCAAGGTAAGCCGGGATATTAATCAATGTTGCTGAACATTCGTTCGATTTTCTTCAATGAAACATTTTAATTATCATTCAATTTTGATTCACTTTCAGCCTATGTTTTTGCTTTTTATCGCAGTCCTCAACTCGTTTACAAATGCTACGAGCATTAAGTTAGAAGGATACATCAGAAATAAAAACCATTTGATCTGCAAGAAAATATTTGAATAAAGTTTTACGAATGTAAGCAGCTAAAAGATGAATATATTAATATTGGCAAAAGACATGAAAGCAAATACCAAATTTAACAAAACACCATATATAAAAAAGTTAGTCTGTCGACGAAGTATATGAAAAACTATTTTCTGAATAATAATTTTTAATAATGAATGTAGAGCTACATTGGATGGACACAAAAGTTAGACTAAGATGTGTCACCTTCATGGAAATAGTTAACCAATACGATGTTAGAAGACACCTGAAGGGAAGTTATGTCTTAGCTTCTAAATTATAGGTTCCTTCAAAAGTGATGATAGCGCCAAGAGAAATGCAAGAAATTAATATAATTTCTTGGACAAAACGTCTTTTGAGTGGTAGAGATCACATTCCCATATAGGTTGATAAAGAGCTTATATTAATATGTAAAATAATACCAAGTGATTCAAGTATATTGGATACTGTGTTAAATAATGCTTCTGTGGCAGATATATTTAGGATTTATTTATAGAGAGAAAAATTTAGGTGCCATTTATTGGTCCGAGTCGTAAATTATTTCCGCTTTTACCAATCTTATTCTTAAAAAGAAAAAGTACAATCAAACTTTATTCAATTATATATTCACAGTTATTTGGAATGACTTATTGCCACTTATCTGACATATTCGATAGCTTTTGAGGAAAATTTCGAAGGTTTTGATGTGAAAAAGTTTTCCGCAAACTCTTGCATCTAGTTTTCATTAGAGAAAAACATTTTGCAAAGATCGTAAGAAAGTTATACTCGGCTAGTGCAAGAATGGGTTATTATGATAGAACCGATAAGTCCCGTTCCAATATTTTCCCTGTGTTATTCTTGCAGTGGATAGCCTTGTGGGGTCATGGAAAACAGCATTTTCCCTATAGACTGATACGCTTTTCGACCAGAACTTTAGGGACACGTTGCACCTGCTGGTCGTATAAATGTATAGTGTTTCACTGCATTTTAAGATGCCTAAGTGAATAATAATCCAAGAATGCCATTGCACACACTAGATTACTTTTCTCTCACGGAGCACAGCTTTTTGGGGTCGCTTGTGGATATTTATTTTTGTCAGTTCATTATGCGTTAAACATTGTCGTATTTTAATGTATTCGAAAGTTATTCTTAAATATAACGTATAATTAAAAGTTAGGATAGTACATTTATCATTACAAGTGGTCCCCGTAAAAGAAACTTACGACTTTATGTCTAAACTTAAATTGCAGGTAATAAAATTATAGGTCACTGCAAATCTAATAAGTTTATTTTGGATCTTTAACCTCCTCCCCGGCCTAATGGTGTATATATGGTTTTACTGAAAGTATCTTTTCAGACATGGACGAATAAACACGATAATATAACGTTCAAAAATCAGCTACAGACGTGTTTATACATCAATCTTGATTCTTTTTATGCCCTTCTGAGCTTGAAATGAGTTCAATTGTCAACTGATACGTCAGGTAGAGGTAGCAGCCACCGCTCGGGTACTTCGAAGTACCCCAGATTCTTAGTTACTATATTAAAAACAAATAAAAAATTCGTCTGAAAATGAAAATTTTTTCCCCAAATTATTGTCGGGGAAGGAGTTAAATATTATGCCCTTAATAAAAGTTATTAAAATGAAGATTGATATGATGAGAAACTAAAAAGATATACGGTTCATATAAGTCTATCGCCAAAATCTTAGTATCGGTTGTTTAATATCAATCTTATTTTGAAACCATTGAGTTCCATATTAAAATATGACAGACTATCTGGTCGATGGCAGTAATGTTAATTTTGGATCTTTTAACGTCGAATAATCAGCTGAAGCCAAGTTTTTAGCCGGTTTTAAAACAAAATATCGCACTGCTGCTCAAAAAATAAACATTAACAGCGTCCTCACTGCAGAAGACCTTTTATTTTATAGAATGAAAGATGTGGTGGTCACTTTGTAGAAACAACATTGCTTTACAAAAGCACAGAAGGTTTAAAGAGATGGAGAGAGAGTGAGAGGAAAGTGTGTGTGTATAGACTAGACTGACACTTAAATTAAGGAGTGGCTGGTGAGAACGTGGGCGGTAAATCTACATCGACTTGGGGTCGGCCTTAGATTTTGCTATTCAGATTTAGCAGTAGGTGGTAAAAGACACAAAAATCTTCAAACAGAGCCGATCGCTCGGTTGGGGAAGGCGTCTGTTACCCTCTGTCAAAAGACACTACTTGGCACAGGTTTCTTAAAGACTTTTGCATCATGTGTTTATCTCACTTGTGTGATTAAATGAACGCTGTATTTTGTGTGTGTGTGTGTGTGTGTGTTTGTGTGTTTGTAAGGGAGCGTATTGTGGTTTCTGTTTACTGCTTTTCTCTACCTTGCCAACCAAACACTACTAATGAACCACCTCTCATTGTTCACTTTACGGAGTGAGACGTCACAAGGGGCCACGTGATGCAATGTTCTTCTATACGTCGTGTCACTTCTTGCCTATCCTGAACGCTCAAACAACACCGCACATTAGCCCTCTACTTTGAGTGGCTCTTGGGCCTTGTATTGGGTGAACATTAATATGAAACAAAGAAAAAACAAAAAAAAAAAAAAAAAGAATTCGAAAGGAGATGTCTGTCTGATGTACGACTTGGAGGAAACTCCCAGTTCAATGTTTCCGGTTTCAAACAAAAACCGCGCGAAAGACGATACCAAAAAAGAAAAATTTATATATATATATATATATATATATATATATATATGTGTGTGTGGTGCAGTTCAATTTACATTAAATGAAATTGTATGAATGATTCATGTTATATATATATATATATATATATATATATATATATATATATATATATATATATATATATATATAAGCATGTATAGTACAGCTTAGTTACGAGATTAGTAAATGAAATGTTCTTACCTGTTTCGTGACTGAATCAATGAGTCTGACATAGAGATCCTGCTCTTGCCGCACACCTGGATTAAAAGAAAAATCAATCAATGGTTCAATCATTGGTTTGAGTAAAAATGAGAAACTTTCACTTTTGTTTACGATGAATTTAAAGCTTTCTTCAAGATAAATATCTAGTGAAAGGTACATCTTTACAAACATACACAAAGATTTTGTTAGGAAAATTTTGAAACTAGTGGATAGCTGAATGATAGGACAAAATGTTTATCTTCATATTTTTTCAGTTTTATTTCGTAGAGTAGCAGTCATCAGCGCGAAAAATGGGATCGGGAAGCAGAGTTCAAATCCCGGGCAAGCCTGCAGCGTACACTTCCCAACAAATACCCTTGGGGAAAGAATGAATGAATTTCTTCTCAATCTCCAAACTCAATTTATTGATTAGAGTAGACTGGGCTTTCTAGCATTAAATGACAACCAATTTGCGAGAAGGAAAACCGAATTTAAAAACCGTGGAAAAGGCGACGGTATACGACTACGCGATCTTTCCCCAAAATTCATAGCGATTCAAATGTAATAAAGAAAATGAATATGTGGAGAGTCATGAACGCCTACACCCCAAAGGGACATGCTATTTAAATATATATATATATATATATATATATATATATATATATATATATATATATGTGTGTGTGTGTGTGTGTGTGTCCTATAATTTTAAGTACTGTAAAACAGCTTAAAGTTGACATGAAGAAATTTCCGGATACATTATATAATATAATATATAAAGAGTATGAAAAGTACAGAAAACGGTAATTTTAAAGTTTCGCATCTGTTTTAATAAATGATAATAATCAATTATTTTATTATAATGAGAAGAACGTTACAGCAAACTACTTCTTCAACAATTGTAGATTTGATAAAACCTCGCATTTTAATGTCATTAAGTGTTCACCACTGAAATTAATTAAGACACGTGTGTCATCTTTTCCCACAATTTTGTTGCTTGTATAACCTCATTATCACATGATGCACATAATCCTTTCCCAAAGGGCTATTCCTAAGGGGATGAAGGCACTAAGAAACAACATTCAGTGAATGTCACCCTCCAACTCCTCCTGGGCTTTCCTTAGAGTACAGCTTCGTGACTTGAAGATGACAGATATTTTTCATATGAAAAAAAAAATTGAAAAATACGAACTATTTCAATTCTGTACAAACTGGCACATATTTTACGATACGTCTCTACGCAAATGTGTTAATAATGAGAAAACTCCCTATTGATAAGAACTTTATATAAAAGCTTGAAAAATAGAATAAAATTCAAAATTATTAGAATTGAAAAGAAAATGTTCCTTGACAACAAGTGATAATTATTATTCACTCTGAAAATGATCAAAATAAGTCAGAATTAGTTTTCATGTAAACAAAACAGAACTAATTTTACAGGTTTTTTTTTTAAGTGCATAAGGGGTGATGCAAAAGTTCTTCGTTCGAATCATCACCCCCCCCCTCCATAAAAGATTGTCAACATCAAAATTTGAGGGGGAATCACTTTTTGACCAATTGAGCATTTTTCAATAGGTCATATTCTGGTCGCCTGAAGATCGTGGGAGCTTAAAACTTAAGTAGCTTTGTTCTTTTCTAGGTGTGACGCAGTGAAGCATTTTTACTCTGTCCTAATAACCTTGGCATTGAGTACAGTTGGTTATTGTTGTTTGGTAGGTGTCTGCTCTTTTTTTTTTCTTTTATTTTCTCGCTTTCTTGTATAGGTTTTCTATAGTTGCCATTTTGAAATTTGTTTTGGTCACCTGGCAGACTTTCTGTTGATTGTGCCAATACTTCGTGTACGTACACACACACACACATATATATATATATATATATATATATATATATCTCAATCACTCACACACAGCTCAATAACGAGCTGGGTGGGGGAGAATTCGGCCTCACATTTTAATGAAACTGAAAACTAAACAGAAGACTAAATTTGACTTCTCGATTTCAATCTATGAAGATGCTATTGAGCTGAGCTGTATCATTTGTCTAAAATAATTACTGCTATAATTTTCAAAATAATTTAGAAAATATTGTTTTAAACGTTAACTTCTAAAACTTTTACATGAGCCTTATATAGGAAACAAGTACAAGAGAACAAAATAAAATGTTCATTTAAAATAAAAATATTAGTCGATCATATAAAAATATAGAATCAGTAATCGAATATAACATCTAATTTGCCACCCCACTTTTAACATCCGATTTAGCAACATATTTTTTTTTTTTTGTGGTACAGTGCTTGATATATATATATATATATATATATATATATATATATATATATAAAAAATTGAAGTCGAACCAATACAATAATTGTCAAAATACCTAAATACCATTAAACAAGATAAAATCTGGAACTAAGACAGCAATAAGAAAAAAGAAAAAGACCTAAGGTCAAGCACCTACCTACTCAGTAAAGTGCTCAAAGCCTAGATTGACTAGACAGATTAGAAAACGTTTGACAACGTTAATTCCTATGAAAGGATGGTTTTAGTAGAGGTCCATCATATATATATATATATATATATATATATATAAAGGGAGAACGAAAGAAATGGGTATTATTTCCTAAATGTTAAATTTAGAAAATAAACGTTTAGTGGACTGCTATGTGTTTCCTCGTCCTCTGATAAGTTTAAATTAGAATTGATCGAGGAATTTCAACCCATATCCTCCTGGTGACAGTTTGAAATAACACCACATTTTTTAACCTTGTATTTTGCTTACTGTTCGTATTTTCTCGATTTCGGATGAAAACTCGAAAATCTTCCAACATATTTGTGCGAGAATTTCCCCTTTCAAAAGTATAGTTTAGATATGGGGAAAAAGAAGGCTTAGAGGACATTGGTTAATTAATCAACCCATTGTGTAAGTGTGTCGTGCCAATCTCTTATCCGCCCCGAATCTATTATATGGCCTTCCACTCTATTACATCTCAATTTTCATAAGGTAGCATTCATATGAAATAAATGTTTTATTGTAACCTAATTATGTATAATAATGGATTATATTCAATATAGGTGAACAACTCAACTAGAAAAATTGAAAATAAATACAATGTATCTAAATACAATTTAGAGTCATGTCATAATAGATTATTCCATCTCAAAACGACAATGTTTTGCGGCAATTTTTATTTTTAACATCCACTTGAGACATTTTCTTGTTAAAAAGTTCAATTTTAACACATTCAAAATTATGGAGAAAAAATAATGAATATTATGTCGTGTTTTTCCAATCTTAGAATGAGTAAAACAAATTCACGGAGTTAGACGAAAAATAAAAAAAAATTCTAAATTTCTGAAGTATTGTCATTAGGTTATTTCTAATTTTAGCACATATTAAACTATTTTTTCTATCATACCTTCAGAATGTAGGCATTCATGGTCCTTCAGAGACTTCTTTTTTTTTTGGCTGTGAATCTTGACTTCCTTTCTACACGGTTTGAAATAATATAGCTTAATTCTCTTTCACTGTCACCCAAAGCTAGAGAGGCCAGTCTACCCTACTATGTAATCTGTAGGTGGCAGGAGAAGAAATTTCCGCGCCGATAACTGTTACGCTACCCACACATTGACTAAAATAGATCTCAGAAAATATGACAGAAATGTTTACGTATAGATCGGGCTTCTGCCATGAATCAGTGTAGTATCTGTGTGCGCAGATTAGAAACAATGTAATATGTCTCCTCTTTGTAAAATGTAGAGATGAGACAAATAGGAAAAAGTTGTTCAGACAACGCGTTTCGACTCTTTATGGTTAGCGTATACAGGTCGGAAGAAGAGACAAATCCGTGTGTAAGTAGTGCGTAGGCATTTTGAGGAAGAGGTAATAAATATACTTGAGATGTTTTTTTTTGTATGGAAGCCATTAACGTTTACTTGGTGTGAAATTAACACACTGCAAATAGATCCGTTTTTTCCTCTGTTAGTTCATATACCTCATTTTTCTACTGTTGGTTTTGTGCTGATTGGTGTTATTGTGTATAAGTCCGGTTTAAGGTTGACCTTAGAGAATTGTGATATCGGTGTGTTATGTAGATGTATAAATATCATTAAATATCTGTCTCATTATTTCAACACAATTTTATCTAAGGACAGAGCAACTGCAAAATTTCGAAGAATATCCGTCGTAATAATCTATATAAAAACGAGTCAAATATTAAATAAATTTATATAACAAAATTAGTTAGTACTAGCAGTATAACCCGTCTTCGACCGGGTGTTTCATTACTGGGAATTTTTGCCATTCCGTTGGAGCGGTTTAAGTTTAAAGTCATCCCACCCGAAAATCAATATTAGTAACAACTAAGGGGTTCAACTGAGGCACATCTCCAAATGATTTTTTTTAACAATTTGGTTTGGTATCCCCGAAAAAGGGCCTTTTTTGCGTTCTAAATCTTGCAAGGAAGTAAACTCTTCCATTGAACCTCATAATAATAATATACGATAACTTTTATTTATAATATAATTCTAATAATCTTTTGCGTAAGATTTCAACTCTCTAAATTAATTATACGCTGTTTTTTTTAACAGACATTAAATTTTGCCTTTGATTTTTGCGCAAAGTATTAAAAAAAATCAGTTTTTTTTTCGATTTTTCTCCTTCAAGGTTGTAATTTTTTCCAGCCAATTTGGACTCAGAACCGGCACTGAAGAATTATCTAACAAACAAAAAAAAAAAAAAAAAAAAAAAAAATCGGATGAAAACTGTGGAAACACATAAACAACCTCCGATCACCCCCACACACATTTTGATAATTATAGATGTAGATACTGCATTCTGATGCTATTGCTTTTACGATATTATATATGAACCTGATCTCACTATTTTTGACAATAAAACTTAGACCAGTCTCATATACATTATCATTGATCATGACAAATGACATAGAAACTATATAACATGTAATAAATAATCTATATAACAAGGAGCTATACATTTAAGAGTCTATCTTGTGGCAGCGGGAAACGCTACGATCATTCAATTGCTTTGATAATCGTTATAGTTTTCAGTGTTTCTCAGATGAACCAATACTAGTTTCACTCGTTTTTAGATCTCTTTCTGATTCACTCTACATGTTGGCCGAATGTGAACGTAGGAAAGCAGAGTCTCCGACTCACAAAACAAATCTCTTCTTCCTCCTCTCTCATATATATATATATATATATATATATATATAAGGATCCAATTAAGAATGTTGCCGCCAAAGTAAAAACACGAAAGAAATGATGGGTCATGATCCATCACATTTGCTTTTTAGAACGCCGCTAACGACACTAGGCAGTCGCAGCGAATGAGTAAGCTGTCAACGTCACTACCTGTATGTTCTGCCAACCGACCAGATACATGTGTAAACTCTTCCGACTCTCCCATTCCTCAAAGTCGCTTCCCTTGCCAGCAAAGAGACATTCTGCTCATATCCTCTGTATTGGCTATACAAAGAATTTTATCTTAACAGTTGTCGAGTTTAACATTTTAGACTGAACAGACAGCGAAAATCTTAGTTAACATTTTACAGATCAGGTTAATATTATTCTGAATACTCAGTCACCTCTAAGCACAGTGCATTTCCAGGAGGAAAAAGAAATAAAGAAATTAATTGATAAACAAAAACGCAGTCTCATTTTGACCAAAAGTTGTTGAAAGTCAAATCCATGACATATATATATATATATATATTGATTGGCATAAAAGGCAAGTCACCAGTTAAAGTCAAAAGATAAATTAAAAAAGCAACAACATACCGTTGGCGTACAGAAGCTGTAATCGATAATGAATCCCGTTATTTGTCCTTTGACCGTCTGCTTCCTGCAAAAGAAAAGTTGCGTTTTAAAATAAAATTTACAATTGTGTGTGTTCAACAGATTTGAAATTAGAGTAATGTTTTAAGTAGTTTTGAACTTGCCGATCTCTAAGAAAAATTAATGTAAATGTAAGACATTACAATAATGCGATTGTAAATGAAGAGAAACATCTAAGGTCGGATACATTAATAAATTAATTTCAACCGAGTCGTTTATCGTAACAAAAGACAAATTTGGATTACTATCTCAATTGAACGTGGCTTACTGAATTACTGCTGAAAACAAATTGTGTACAACACCCTTGAGTAGATTTACCGTATCTGCCTTTGGAGAACAGTTCGAAATTATGAATCAGCACAAAATCTTTAGATTCACATTTAATAGGTTCAAGATCCAACTTAGTAATTAATTAATATATTAAGTGTATATTATATACAGAAATATGATTTATTCATTTTACGGTGGGAGGTAAATAAAAAGCTAATTGATTTTCACTTGAGCGAACAATTTCAAACAAACGAATTTCAGAAGAATCCATTTGATGTTGCAGAAAGAAATTATAAAATAAATCCACATTATATTTAAGCAATGTTATAATTTCGAAAACACGCATATATATATATATATATATATATATATATATATATATATATATATATATATATATGAGAATGGTACGATCCATCACAATATCAAAAAAGATCTTTTTACAAGCTTAATAAAATGCTTAATTAAATATCACGTAAAAGGCAGAATAAATAAGAGATAAATATTTAAACAAACAGAAACAATTCCTATTTCGCCTTAAGCCACTCTTGAAAATAAGGCAAATAAACAGGAACTAGAGTTGCATGCGGGGTTGATTGTTTTTGTAACTTATTCTCTAATCTGCTTTCTATATCTACATCTCTCTCTCTCTCTATATATATATATATATATATATATGTGTGTGTATAGGATTTAAGCCGGGTTAATCTCTTCGAAACAGCAGAAAGAAACTTCTTTGATGAAAGAATTATTTGGAGGCAGCAGAGAAATACAATTCCTGAAAATCTTGGGACGTGCTGCAGGTGAGAGAGAGAGAGAGAGAGAATTAGATTGTTTGTGGGTGGGGTGTGAAAAAAATTGAAATCTCAATGAGGAAAGTGAAATTACATAACGCTGGAATTTAAGGTCGGCTGATTTTGGTGTCGACCTTTCGTGATAGAAAATAACTTATTACAGAATTAAAAGAAACGATTTGATTTTCTGGCGGGACAGTTTTCTTTTATCATCCATGAAGGATTATTACAGTAGTACAGAACAAAGTTACTATTACGAGCTAAGACGATAGGAAAGAACGTTTAGTCGATCTAAATCCAGAGCTTATATTGATTTTATCAAAGACATTCTTTAAGCTAAATCTTTTTAGTATACTCTAAAATTCTTTTGGGATACTGTACTTACACTCTTTCAGCCGATTCATTCTACGGCCTTCTTAAGTTGTATAGAGCCGTAAAGAAAGAGCAGAATATGGTTAGGTCATCGTGCTTCAATGCCATGATCCGGATGGATAGAGACATTCTCTTATTACTATCAGTTTCTACCACTGCCTCTCACTGACATAATATCTTATCAAGTCTTGTTTGAAACTTAATCTTAGGATCCGATAAATGTGTTAAAAATTGAACATTTTTAATGAAAACAAAATTGCTAAATGTAATCGTACGTTCGAGTTTAATCATTTTTTCATTCGCACTTCTCGTCTTTGGACTCTTCCAGTTTCTTGCTTTCCTGTCTACTACAATCCACAAAAATTCAAATGCGACGTCAATAGTCCCCACTTCTGTCTCCATAAATTCTGTTCTTTTTACTGTCATTTCTCCTCAGTAACGTTTTATTAGCTTCCTTCTGTTTTTTTTTCACTCTCAGTAAGTCCTTGAGTCTTAGTGGCTTAATCACCTTGCTAGGAGTGAAATGATTTTAAAAAAATAATTAAGAATTATCTATGAAAAAAAAAAAAAAAAGACAAGATTTCCTCAAATGACTGCGCATAAGTTTTAGTTAAAAAATAAATAAAATAAAAAACAAAACCATCTAAAAAACAAAATAAAAGATGTTGGAGAATTTTGCTGTGTAAATCTAATACAGAAGAATCTCTTAATTTCTCTCAATGAATCCTTGTCCCATTGAAAGAGCTTCATATGTCTTTCAAAATGACGTCGATATCTGGCTACAGCATTGAGTTCCCGCTTCCTTAGTCTCGATGTCGTCTGCTTGGGTGTGTCAGTTGAGCGTTGGTGTTGATAAAGCAGTGGCAACTTTCCTCTTTCTCGAATTTAATGGTGCAGGCCAACTGAGATTGTTGTATTAATTGTACTTGTATACCTTAGGGAGGTGTCCATGAGCACATCACTGTTCATTCAACTCTCTCTAACACATATCTCGACTGCTTTTCATGCTAAATTACACAGTTCGTGTATTTGCTTATATATATATATATATATATATATATATATGAGAAAGATGAGGGGATGGCAGTATATGTACATTAATAAATTCACGACCTAAGGAAAAAAAGTATTTACTTTCCACAAATATTTTTTTTCAACATATCTTGTCAATGCACTTAATTCCAAGTTCTTCGAAAGATTACAAATCAATCGTTATACAGTGGAAATTTCTAGAATTTTTTCGGTAAAAACTAAATGTCAGGCTACGTTGTGTGTGTGTGTGTGTGTGTGTGTGTGTGTGTGTGTGTGTGTGTGTGAGACCAGAAGTTGATCGGTTCAAGCTGTTCTGATTTATAAAAATTAAGATAGGCACATTTGTCCCTCAGGCTTACGGCCATATCACGTTGAAAAACACTGATTGTACGAAGTTGAGCAACGACGATTCTGGTCAGTAACTAGATGGGTGACCGCATGGGAATACCAGTTGCTGTGAAGCTTGACTGTGCGGATGATAAGTATAACGATTCGGAATTGGTAACCGGACAGCGGAGTTCCAAATCGCAAATACCCTTGGGGAAAATATATGAATTTACCCCTTCTTTTCCAGCTACGGGCTAATTAGTATGACTTGTATCAGGAAATCATTATTGCTAAAAGAATCTTACAATCTAAAATATTTTCTAGCTTTAAATAACCTGCAAAACGTTCATAAGCCGTAAAAAAACCCAAATCAATCTCTCAAACATTCGTCACTCGTCCACTTGGCAGAATAATATATCTGTTAAAACACCCAGGTAGCTGGTCTCGCAGAATATTACTGGGTGACTTAAAATTTCGTCAACGTAAGAACACAAAAAGCTTTTATTTAATTTTTTTTTTATCAAAATATCAATAGCGTTATCTCACTCAAAAGTCAAACTGAATCTGTAATACGGGTTCAAGTTTTCAATTCGTTGGATTTCAACAGATGGCGCTATAATTTTGTTGCCCCCATGATTTGTACTATTAAAAGTTAGTATCTATGCAACATCTATAGGTAAACCTCAAAATGAGGAAAGTCGACTTTTGCATGAATATGTGCGGCAGTTATCTGTAAAGACTTCATTACTTAGTATCTGTCTATATTTCTGAGATGAGGTATTATGTACATTATTTACATTGTTCGGACTATCATCCTCATCTTTGTTGCCATATTTATCATAAAGCTTCTTCAGGTGATTGGAATGTCGAACTGAACCATTTATTTCGTTCGCTGGGGTAGACACGTGCCATGTCTAATGGATATCAATTATCTCCCGTTAATTCTCCTCTCCAAGTTCTCCGCCGCTTTAGCCAGGTATTGAACTCACACTCAGTCCTGTCACTGGATCTAACTAATGCCTTTATCCACTGTGCCATGTGTCCTTTGCTTAGTTTAGCTTATCACCCAGTGAATATCGAAGTCACTACTCAATAATAATTGTCAACCGGACAAAATCGATAACCAATATCTTTAACTTGAGATAACCTCGCAATTAAGGGATAACCAATGAGGATTGTACCCACTACACATGGCCCCTTAATGTAGCTCAATAACCATTAACCCACTTCGAGGCGTGCGAAAAAGACTTAATTTGTTCTTGGCATTGCCAAATTTCTAGTTTTTATTGTTACGTTTACGCTCTTTTTCTGTCATTTCTATAAATCTGGTCGATTTATTTCGCTTCATTCAAGTCCGTACGTTTCGCTGAATACGTCACTTCCGTACAAAGGAAAGGCTCCCATTCCCCCATTTCACACGTCATTTCCGCACCGTGACAACCAATCAGAAACCTTGTTTATCTTTCTCTACTTTATATAACAATGGCGAAAAACCAATCACTGCCCTTGTTGATTGAGAGGAGATTAGAATCGATTACCAAGGAAGATTCATTTTGCAGACCAAACAAGTTTATTTGTGGATCGCTTAATATTTGGTCTATAGCGAACGCGTATGCTCGCTCCTTTTTTACATAGTGAAGGAAATTAATTAAAGCCTATTTATTGTAGATTGTCCTGAATCTTTGGTTGATCATACAAGCAGCAACCTTAGTTTCTGTGTTCTCTGCCCAACTGTAACTGCAAAAAAGGTTTCAGCTATATTAAGACTATCGTTATTATTTGAAAATAAAGGGCGAATGAATATATTATTTTGTCAAAACGTCATAACATTGAATTTTTATAACGTTTATTTTTCTTGTTTATAAAGAAATTAACCAAGAACGACTTAAACATCTTACTATGATTATTTCCATAGATTATATTTTGATGAGCTACAGTATAGGAAAATAATCCCCCTTTCCCTTCGTATTCCATTAATAAGAAAGTTCTATTCAGATAGCTTACCCCCACCCCACCCAGAGAACCTAGCTTACGGCCACATCATGTCGAAACAACGGTTCCCGTACGATCACTCAAGTTAAGCAACGTCGAGACTGGTCAGTACTTAGATGTGTGATCGCTTGGGAATATCAATTGCTGTTAGCTTGGATGTGCGAGTGGTGTAATGTATATTGGCTCGGAAAATAGTTAATTGTGGAGCTCCAATTCCTGTTGGTTTTTTTTTATATTTCCTTACGTACAAATACTCTAGAGAAAGATATGAATCTACCTCTTCTCCCCCTGGCTATGGGTTAATTAGTAAGACTTGTATCACTAAAACATTATCTAAAAAAAAAAAAAAAAAAAAAAAAAAAAAGAGAATAGTCCACAACAAGAAACACAAAATAAAAAAACAAAAATACCAACAAGAAAAAACAACAAAAAATAGATAAAAACAGGAATACAAAAAAAAAAAACAAAACAAACAAAAAACAAACAAGCAAAAAAGAAAGAAAGAAAGAAAGAAAGAAAGAAACAATCCTCAAAATTTTTTCTAGCTTTAAATAACCTGTAAAGTGGTGATAACCCGTAGAAAACGAATTAATTAATTAGCGCTTCCTCTTACGTTCATTCATACCTCATTCAGTAAATCTGTGCCTTGAATAGCTCTTGAGCCTTGTACGGGGTTAACAATTAGTTAAAAAATAAAGAAAAAAAACTGTACCTATACAATGCCAAGTAAGGTTGGCTAGAAACGCGAAAGGGAAGCCACACACAACCTTAAAAATTTCTATCAGATAAAATCTTGATTTTTGAGTTGATGTATACACAACAAATCATTCTGACGAACTTGAAACTTTCGATCGACGCTAAACCTTAAAGCATCACTCATCTGACTTTGATACATAAGAAATCAATAAAACCAATTCTCATTTTTCTGGGCAGTGATTGGCTAACAAGCTAAATCAATAAAGATGGACAAGAGGAACAGAAGGTGGACGCAACTATTGTCTTGGCTTCAACCATTGTAGACAGATGTGTCTGTGTGTGAGAGGGAACGAGACTTCTGATATGGTTTCGCAACTCAGACGAATATTGAGTTAACATAATTCATTTAGAGAAATGCGATTACGAATAAATATGTTCATTCGTACCGTCTAAAATGGCATGAACGCTGACTCGGTTTCAACCGCTACCTCAACCGTCTTCGTTCACCTTGCAGACCTTACCCTGCCATAATCTACCCTGCCCTACACACGAAGCTTGGACGATATCTTAATGTTTACATCTTACTTGGAACCGTAAACAGATGCCCTCCTCTGAGCCCCAGTGCCTTTCAGCTACCCAGTATCACCCCCCCGACTCCTCACTACCCGTCGAGAAGGTCAGCTTTGCCATTAATTAGACATTCATAATTTGGTTTTACGAAGAATCAGATTTATTGCCATGAACAAGATGTAGAAAATGAGGATAACATTGACAGAAATGCAAACGAGGGTCACCGAAACAAGTGAGTGAGTGTGTGTACGAGAGAGAGAGAGTACAGAGAGAGAGAGAGAGAGAGGAGAGAGAGAGAGAGAGAGTACAGGAGAGAGAGAGAGTACAGGAGAGAGAGAGAGAGAGGAGAGAGAGAGAGAGAGAGTACAGGAGAGAGAGAGAGAGTACAGGAGAGAGAGAGAGAGAGTACAGGAGAGAGAGAGAGAGTGAGTGTGTATCAGTGAGAGAGAGAGAGCGAGTGTGTATCAGTGAGAGAGAGAGAGCGAGTGTGTATCAGTGAGAGAGAGAGAGAGCGAGTGTGTATGAGAGAGAGAGAGAGAGCGAGTGTGTATCAGTGAGAGAGAGAGAGAGTGTGTATCAGTGAGAGAGAGAGAGAGCGAGTGTGTATCAGTGAGAGAGAGAGAGAGCGAGTGTGTATCAGTGAGAGAGAGAGAGTGAGTGTGTATCAGTGAGAGAGAGTGAGTGTGTATCAGTGAGAGAGAGTGAGTGTGTATCAGTGGGAGAGAGTCTATGAGAGAGTGTGCGTAGAGAAATGTGCCTACATTCAAGATAGGTAGAGGGATAATCAAGAAATGTTGTATATTTGAACCAAGGTGAGTACGCATGCGTACACGTGTCGTGAAAGTGGGTTTGGATAGGGATATGCGAATCTATTGGAAAAATCAATTATTTCTGTGTGTGAGAAATGCCTGTTTGGACCAACAAGTAGCAAATTGGGCCACATTTGAAAGGCCAGCTCTACTAAATTCAAACTTGACTTTCTGCTTATTAATAGCTGAAGTTAGTTCAACATTTCTTTTTTCAAATATAGCCCCTGAATTTGCAAGTGACGGAAATCAAAATTTCGTAATGCTGGGACTTTAAAAGCAGCTCAAACAACCAACCCTGACTACAAGTATTTTCTTTCGAAATATAGGGAATTACTGTGATAAGAAGCGAGGGAATCTGTTTATGACTTATTGCAAAACAAACATGATCCTCCACTTAATATACATAAGGCAGTTCCACTCGGACAGGTTCTTTCCAAGAGCCAGTGCTCCCAAGTGAAGAAGAGGCCCGAGGTAAGAGAAATGTGGTTCTACAGAAGGATGCTGAGAATACCATGGACTGAACATGTAAGCAACGACGAAGTTTTAGAGAAAATGAAAACTAAAAGGACACGTTTACATAGCATCAGGAAGAAACCTTTGAAATTTCTAGAGCGCATAACGAGGAAAGGTTTGGAAAATTTAACACTCGCAGAGCACACTGAAGGCAAGAGGGACAGAGGAAAATAGCGAATAGGAGAGATTGTGTAAATGTTTGACAAAACAGAAGAAATATCAAAAAAGAATGAGAAAGGACAGGAAATTGTTGGTTGGTTGTTTTTGTTTCGTCGCATATCAACACCTCTATGGGTTATTTAATACCGAAATCTAAATATTTTGTACGCAATTTTATTTGTTTTGTTGCTAGAGAACTGTTTTAGTAATACACATTTTACGACTTAACCGATAACTGGGGGGAGAAGAGGTGGATTCATGCCTTTCCCATGAGTATTTGCGCCTAAGTAAATAGAACGAACCCAACGGGAATTGGAACTTGGCTCTGCAATTAACAATTCCGAGTGATTGATGTTGCACCACTCACACACCTAAGCTTACAATACATGCTATTCCCAAACGGTCACCCATCTAGGTACTGACTAGGCTCAACGTTGCTTAGCTTCAGTGATTGCACGAGAAATGGTATTTCAACTTGATGTGGCCGTAAGCCCCAGGAAATTTGTGGAGACGCATGATCCCCCACGAAGATTTCGAAAGTGGCGACATTCAAAGTTTAGTACCAAAATCATTCTATGGGTATGAAAAGGCAGGCAATAGGGGTTAGCTCGACGTCCTGGTAGGCTTGAAATTCAGCTGCCAGCCATTATTTCATAGTGAATAAATCCATTTATTTATTCTTTGAGCTATGTCTGAGTGGTAATTAGAAGTGTTGTCTTTAGGACTATCTCTTAGATATATATTAAATATCTGTTGCAGTTCAATTTATATTACAATGAATCATTCATACAAAATGTAGATTAGCTAACAAAAGTTTAAAGGTGCATTAATCTACAAATCACTCGATGAATGTTATGATCCTTGGTTTTAAAAATTATAATCTGTATAAGGTCTCTTTAATACGCAAGTACTTTCGACTGTACATTTTTCGTCTCTGATGCTACCTGAATTTTACCCAAAAATTTCCATGCCTGAAGATGACTGAATATACAGTCGAAAGTACTTTAAAATTTTGTTAACGAAGGGATTTCGCAATGTTATATCATTAACTTTACTAATCTACTTTTTATATGAATGATTCATTATATATATATATATATATATATATATATATATATATATATATATATATATGAAAGTTTGGACTGAGACAGCCTATGCTTGAACCTGGTACTCCCACAAAGTTGCGAAGAAATAAGATGATATTGCAACGTACTGTTAGTACGCCCTGGGTTAGTGAGTCAAGGGCAATCACCTGACAAGAGCTTTATAGGGGACCACCCCTTTTAGCCAGGCTAATTTAAACGGGAGGGTATTTAAAAATCAGAATACCAACAGAGCTTATGGCTTACAAAAAGGATCCTTTATTCTTCATTTGCAAGCGATTAGCGAAAAACTTCTCAGGTATAAATCCATTTTTTCAAAGGGACAGGTAAAGGTCTTTAACTTTGTCAGGAAAATGAATCATTTATAAATTAATGCATTCATATGAATAATAACTTTATTAAATAAATTACTATGTTTTTTTAGTTTCCTGAAATTTCCATAAATTACAAATGCTTAAAATATTTTCTTTAAGCTGTTTTTTTAGTAGGGTGGATGTTCAATTAACCACTCTAAGTCCGGGAGGATACTGAAGTTTATATATATTAGATTGCTAGATTATACAGATCAGCGTTGTCAGCATTTGGGTCTTTTTGTTTGTCTGCTGTCTCGCTAAAGAGAAAGTGGTCATTGAAAAAAAAAAACAAAAAAAACTACAGACTTAACATGACCTCTACTGTATTTGTATGTCCGTTGAGGTTGCGCAACTGCTGGTAATATCACTACTAATGCCTCAGCTTCGTTTACATCAAAACATGTGAACAGATGGCGAAAATAGAAAAAAAAATCTACTTTCCTTCTACGTATGCGTTTTTGTTTGTAGTATACATATGTAAGGGTGTGCTGAAAAGATCTCGTCCCAACCCACTCCTTCAAATCTAATTAAATTGCATATATATTTTTTTAATCAGTCTGACCGAAAACTTCAACAACACGTCGATGTTAATATGAAGTTTATCCATATATATTACGTCATTGTTGACGAGTCTCGTGCTCGTGAGCCGTCCTGGGTATGACGATAAGCCACATCCGCGTCCTGGGTATGACGATAAACTACATCCGACATCAAGGCCTCTGATCAGGAGTTTTTGAGGAGAGTGGAACCACCTCTTAATTGCTGGTGTTCTCAGGTCCACTCTGACCCGGAGTGGTAACACCTGTTAGGGTCCCAGCTATGGGCAAATAGTTAACCTTCAAACTGGGGTCAAAACACTAGGAAAGTGTAAAAATAGATTTTAATACCAGAAATATTTTTTTAAAAATTATTACTGGCAATACATTTTTGAAGAAAAAAAAATAAAAAAATATTATTAGCAATATATTTTTGAAGGAAAAAATATTACCAGCAATTTTTTAAAGAAAATTATTACCAGCAAAAAAAAAAAAAAAAAAAAAAAAATAATTGTCGGCATATTAAATAACCCATTGTGGTTGATATGCCGTAAAACAAACCTTATGCTCGTGAATATATATGCAAAAAGTTCAAAAGATATCTGACTACTGGTGATAAGACTATGGTGAGCAAGTTATTGTAAGCTGAAGATATCTTTGTTTCTTTCTCGTCATACCATTGTTAGCAATCTGGAGATCTGTACTGAGCTTTCGGAGTTTATTCTGGTTTTCATCATCAAATATGTTTATGAAGTTGTAAATTCTATGATGAGTATTGTATGAAATTGAAGAGAGATTGAAATGTCGGTTTGGATATTTCTAGGAGATAATTGAATAATCGAAACTGGTAGAAATGACAGTTAATGCTATGGATGTTGACTAGACTTTAGCATTGTTTGGAACAAGGCCACAGGTAAGGAGTACCCAATGAGGATCGAACTCACTATACAGTAAGAATGATCTACTACACGAGCTTGCCTGCTATTGCCTCATAACAGGTACACTTGGGTGACATATTTTAACCGAGAGAATCGTCATTATTGAATATTAGGTTATTTGTCAAAGTTATACTTTTGATCGAAAATATATTTCGACTTTAAATTTTAACCATAGATAATTTTCAGTCTTATTGATATTAAGATTTTTTTTAAACGATATTTTTGAGAGGTCACCATAAAAAGGTGATTGTTAATACTATTACTAATAATACCACAAATACTACTAATACTACTACTAATATTTTTTTTTAGTGGGGAATGATGGTCACATCCTTGTGACGGATTTTCCTCTTTTACTTAATTCATTCTCGAATGAGAGTAAGCATGTCCAACTCCGTTCGACCACGGAAACGTCAATAAGTCGGTCACATGGAAATGTTCATAAAACCTTAATTAGAAAAAAAAAAGCACCAGTGAGGCATCTGGACAGGCGTTAGCGACGTTCCAGTGGTTGACCATTACTACTGAGTAGTGAGTTCGATCCTCACCGGGTGTTCCGTAATTCTGATCTTGTAACATACTAAAGAAATAACACTAGCGGCAAGTATTTGGGTAAAAATAAAGCTATAAAAAGGATAAAATAAAAACAAACAAGTAGTTAGTTTGTGCAAAGTCTGCTCAGTATGTTTCAAGACATTTTGACTGGCTCGAGAAACGGTTGAACAGCCTTGATGATAATTTGGCAAACAAACAACATTTTTTTTTTCTACATGCTTGAGCAGACGCCCTCCTGTAGGATTACTCAGTCGACAATGAGACGCCACTGTGTAACCATCATATTCATAATGGTCATGCGTATAAGTTCCTAGTATCGTACTGGGTTTTCGGCAAGACATTTCGTCACTCAGTTCGGCCGGTCGGTCGCCCGTTCCTTTCTTTCTTTCTTTCTTTCTTTCTTCGACACAGCAGTTTATATATATGGCTCTCTCTGACTTCTCAAACCTAAAACTGTTCATATGTCATAGACGAGATTAAGAACGCGACGAGGAATTTTTATGGCGATTCAGAAATAGGACGTTGAAGAATGTTTTGAAAAGTGATGGGTATTCTGGAATAAGGTGGTTGAGGCCGAAGCGGCAATAATTTGAAGAGGACCAAAATGGCCGAATATATTCCGATCAAACCACACACACACACGTATGGGTGAAAGAAGAGTTTAAATATACAGATGTTTGCTCAGATTTTCAAATGAAATGAAACAAGATCAGAACGTTTTCAATATACACGTGTGTGTGTGTGTGTGTATATATATATATATATATATATATATATATATATATATATAAGTGGACACGGAAGTCATCCCAGAGGCGAGAGTCTTTCATGCTAAACGCAACCATCGGGCCATATCTGATATGGCCTGACGATTACGTTTACTGTAGCTTCTGGGTATTGACTTCAGTGTCTAGTTATATATTTACATATGTTCTATCTCTGATATTGTGCACTTTAACACAAATATATATATATATATATATATATATATATATATATATATATATTATATGCGTGTTCAGACAAAAATATAAATCGAGTATGGATAGGAATCTGACAAAATGATAGGATAAAGAACAAGTAGGAAACAAATATTAATCTATCACGCTTCACTTTATTAAAGCTTCGTCAGAGATCAAGACAGAAATGATAAAAACTGATAAAACGCAAAGAGACGCTGATTAATGGTATGTTGTGTTTGGTTATTTCTTATTGGGTTAGATGCAAAACATCCTGTTGCGGCTCTTAACTTTTACACACTTTATCATTAGGAATATTTCTCACACATATTTGAATATTATCTCTTACTTTATTACACGTGACATGTATCTAAACAATAAGAAATAACCAAATCTGAGTCTCTTTGCTTTTTATCAATTTTTATTATTTCTATCTTGATCTCTGACGAACCTTTAATAAAGTGTAAAAAAGGTCAGATTAAGATTTGTTTCCGACTTGTTTTTTATCGTATCATATATCTCGAAATGAGAGGAAGTACAAATCGTCTGTTCATAACATTTACTTTTAAAATAATTCTCCAAATGTTTTTATTATAATCTCTTATGATAAGAAGAGATATATATATATATATATATATATATACACACACAATGTGCGTGTGTGTATGTGTGCGAAATTCAGATATAAATAAATGTATTTGCAAATACAATATTAATACAATAACAAGAGAAAAACCTTTAATCGCAATGCGTTTAAAATGAAATATAAAAAACAACAATATTAATTCGATTCCTACTCTCTTTATATTCGGACTATCATACTTGTCATATTCCAGAGTTTCGGCAGTTGTGCTCTCCTGAGAGCCGAAACGTCGTGTTAACAGCAACAGCGATGAAAACTATAGTCCAAATGTAAATAGTGTAAATCATAATAATTCCTCATCCGAGAAATTCAGACAGAAAATAATTCACTTTCGCTTAAACAATATGCCAAATATTTACGTCACTTAGCGTCTTCCATAGTTTTCCTTTCCTTTTTTCCC